TCGTGGGAGTGCCTGGGGTTGTCATCTGCCGTCAGCATGCCGGGCAGCTGCTCTAACCATCCCGGCAACCCCAAATCAGCCTGACCCACGCCCATCTGAAGAAAACCAAGGCTGGCGAAGATAACGAGCTGCTTCTCTGAGTGCATCGCGCTTGTGCGTGCTAGTGACGCGCAGTCACCAGCCCTGGCCAGTCTTAAGCTTAGGGTGCGTAGGATGGCGGGAAGTATCGCCTTTTTACAATGTCCTTCTTGGTCAGGTCGGCGGCCATTTTCACTTCCGGAGGCGGCAACACCTGAGCTTCAGGGCTTGCTGAAAAAGATGCTTGCTTTTTCCCCACTATCTTTCGTTGCAGCTTTGCTGAGGCAGTGAAGCACTCAGTAGCCAAGTAGGACCTTGCGTCGATGAGGTGGACTGGTGATCAATTGGCCGTAATGCGGATCTCCTACTCTGCTGAGTCCGTAGCCCCGCAACAACTGCATGCAACTTCACATAGTCAATGTCATGGGCTGTCTCACCGCATGCATTCACTTTCCCTCGCACCTTTCGAGGGCACGAAAGCATCAGTCGTGAATATTCAGAAGCTTAGACGTAGCTGCTAAGTAGCACAGCAGCAGAGAACTAGACTAGCTTGATGCACGTAGCCTTCCGACATGGATGCTGACGCAAAGAGCCCGGCAGCTCCAGTCCCACCGCCTCCACCTCCGCCGCCTCCGCCTTCCTCTCCTTCGCCTGGGCCTGAAGTCGCAATTGTCCAAGAGCTCCGGCGGCTAGTGGTGCGACCTCCATGGCATGGGGTATCCTGATCATGAGTCTCTGAGTCACAAGTCTTCCGAAGAGACGAATCTCCCAGGCCGAAAGCTGCGCCTGCCGTGCCATTCAATGTTCGCCGCGGGTGTCTTTGCTGCACAGCAAGCTCAGACTTCTCACAGATCTCGTCGTGTGCCCGCCGAAGGCAAGCCATCTTCAAGAAGCACTGCCCGGCACCCATCGTTCTTTCGGTAACATGCATTGCTCCAATTCCTGCGTGACCCCTTCCGTTGAGGTGGACAGTGCCATACCTTCAAGGTGGAGGGTCGGGATCCGAGCGTGACATTCTCTGGCCAGGTGTGTGTCTATCAAGGGTGGGTGTGTCAGTCGGAATGCGCTGAGGGAGCTCCAGATCAGTCGGAAAGCATAATAAGTCAGTGAAGTGACAACGTATACAGTAGGTTACTCGTGCACTTACCACACACAATCAACGCGCCGTTGCTGCAAGCGCACACTGGAGGCAAGTGCAGGCACAGACACAGAGACAGACAGACAGACAGACAGACAGACAGACAGACAGACAGACAGACAGACAGACAGACAGACACACACAAACACAGACACGGAGACACAAACACTTGATTTGACCTTCGATTGACCGAAGCCAAACATGGGATAGCACGTATTCCTACAATCGTGGCCTACGATCTGCTTTTCCAATCTCTTCATGCTCACTGTTTCATCCTGTTGCATCTCTTCGAAGTTCCTCATATCTTCGTTTGCTCGTGCAGGTATTTTTTCAGCTCTTGTCGTTGGCCTCTTCGTTGGCCATCCACCAATGACAAGAGGGATGGCCCCCTGCTTTGATTGAAACTGTAAAGGAATAGTCCCTTGGTCACAGGGTGGTACACACGCAGCTGCCCCTGTGAAGGGGTAACACCGACAGCAGCAGATCTAGGCGTTCCAACATAGGCGACCAGCACTTACACGTTCCAACATAGGCAAGCTGCACTCTACACATTCCAACATAGGCGAACCGCACTCTACACTTTCCAACACAAGCAAACGCACGCTACGCGTTCCAACATAGGTCAACGGCGCTCTACACGTTCCAACATAAGCAAACAGCACTCTACGCGTTCCAACATAGGCAAACCGCACTCTACACGTTCCAACATAAGCAAGTTGCAGTCTACACATTCCAACATGGGCGAGGCGCACTCTACAAGCTCCAACGTATGCTGCGCATTCTGTCACATAGAGTATTTGTATTATTTGGTTGTGGTGGTGCATGCATGAGTGAGGGAGAATATAGCACATGCAAAGAGATCATAAACGATGGAAGATGCACGCTCCTGGTTTTCGTGGTGCATGCATGGGTGAGAGAAGTTTTGAAGTAGACAGGACGATGAAATGAAAGGGTGATGAGCACGCACGCAAAAAGTACTCAAACGATAGAGAAGTGCGCTCCCTGTGTGCATTTTCGTCTTCACCTGGCGTTTAAGGTGTATGGTTTAGGGGAGAAAAACCTTTTTGGATGAAGACATGGACAATGTGGGAGTTCGCAGGCAAAACCGCAGCCCTCCCAACATTGCCATGTCATCGTTGATTCAGTGTGGGAGTTCGCAGACAAAGCCGTAGCCCCCCCACCACTGTAGCTTCGTTGCTGGGTCAACGTGGGAGTTCGCAGGCAAAGCCGCAGCCCTCCCAACATTGCCAAGTTGTCGTTGGGTTATCTTGATTTAGTGTGAGAGGTCGCAGACAAAGCCGCCAGCCCCCCAACACTGTAGCTTCGTTGTTGGGTCAATGTTGGAGTTCGCAGGCAAGGCCGCAGCCCTCCCAGCATTGCCAGGTTATTGTTGTTTCAGCGTGGGACTTCGCAAGCAAAGCCGCAGCCCCCTCAACACTGTAGTTTCGCTGCTGGGTCAGTGTGGGAGTTCACAGGTTGGAGCCTCAGCCCTCCTCACGCTGCCCGTTTTTGCAGGCAGGTTGTTGATTAGGAGATGTCGCACTTAGGAGCACGAGTGGACAGCATCCGTCATCTTTCATCATTCAGACAAGGAGAGCATCTAGTGGAAGTTGTTGCGCTCATACGTCTGGCCGCCGAGCCCTCTAAATAAAGCTGGAGCGTCACGATTGGCACTATCACCATGGCAGGTTTCCAACCGAAATACACACTTGATTTAACCCTCGACAGCCGAAGCCAAACATGGGATAGCATGTATTCCTACAATCGTGGCCTACCATCTGCTTTTCCAATCTGTTCACTGCTTCATCCTGTTGCATCCCTTTGCATTTCTTCAATATCTTCATTTGCTCGTGCAGGTATGTTTTCAGCTCTTGTCGTTGGCCTCTTCGTTGGCCATCCACCAATGACAAGAGGGATGGCCCCTGTTTTGATTGAAATTGCGATTGAATAGTCCCTTGGTCACAGGGTGGTGCACACACACACACACATGTCCCCGATCCTGCCTCTCGTCCAACCTTGCCGCGGACTGGTGGTACCTCCAGGCTGCAAACACACAAGCTACATGATGGCAAAGATGGGCGCTGACCGCTGCATGGCGTTTTACTTCAGACCTGAACGGTTTAGAAACTTTGGGGCAGTTTGTATAGATGGAACATGTCACATGCGCGGCAACCACAAACACAGTAAGTCACAGGACTTTTCACACTGATGACGGAAAGCACCCTAGGCATCTTGGAGTTGCTGCGGTTGCAAAATGCCGGGCTTCGACATAGTCCGTGTCGCGTGCGACGAGCAATCGAAACCTGCTGCACGGTCCCTTTCCGTTATTTGCTGCACTTCGATGGCCAATCTAGGTGTGCAGAATTGTGAGCTTCGTTGACGCACGTCGTCATCATGACGGGTTTCTGCCCTCGTGTGCACTTACACTTCCTGCGTCACAGGCCGTCAGAACTTCCAACATTTTGCGCAAAATGTCAAGACTCCAGGTTGCGATTAACCCAAAGGCTTACACAATCTTGCACCCTAGTTAAGTCCTACCGAAGGCAATGTCAGAGAACATCGGAGAACTAAGCAAGTACTAGTATTAGTCCAAGGTCGCGGCACCGTGCGTGGACCCAACCTCCTGGGAGTCGTTGGCACGATGGCCGGGGCAAAGGCCGACGTGGATCTTCCGCGACAAATATGGAGTCTACAGTGGGTTCAGGGTTTGGCATGGAAGGCTTCAGTTGGGAGGGCATTCTTTTTTCAGTGTATTAAGGTCGACATTGGGTCGGAGGACGACAAAGAGGATCATGGCAGGCCCCAGCCATTTGAAGAAGCCTTGAAACCTAAAGCCCTGAGCCATGGAGCCCAAGCTGCCGCGAGCCGAATCCAGGCCCCCACGTTTTGTCTTAAATGATGATGACGATGATCATGATCATCATCTTGGTGATGAAGTAATTGTTGAATATGTTCGGCCTGATTAGGACTGTGACAACTGAGGATATGTGTGTCGTGTGATTACGATGATGGCAGCTCTGGTGATGTTGACAAGCCAGGTCAAGGAATGGGGAGGCAGCCATTTGCGCCTGCAGGACGCGAGGGCAGGATACTGTCACAACTTAGCGCGAGACTGAGAAGGAAAGCCTCAGCGCAAGGAGAATCATCACAAACAGCATCCGGATTTCCGATCAGCTGTATCGGACCAACAACAGGAGTGTAATGGTCATAGTAGGTGCTCTGTAGGAAAACCAGCATCCAAAACATCCACTAGTGGCTCGCTAGCGAACTAGCCATTGGTAGTTGCAACAACACTAAGTAATGTTTGCAACACTGTATCGCGGTTTGTGTGAATGCTAAGTCCGCGACAAGGATATCGTGGCCCCAAAAACTCCTCGCACTCGATGCCATTTAGGAGTTCAGGGTCACCTGGACGGAGGCGCACACTGCTTTGAACCGTGTGTCACGGAGTTGGAGTATGCGTAAACCAGTCCTAAGAAACTGCTGAGTTCGTGTTAAACGAAATCCTTAACTCCAAAGCCTCAAACGCTACAGCGTCCGTGGCAAGTTTAGCCATTCCGATTCCGCAGGTTTCCAACGTGAGACAGCTGCAGAGGTTGTAAGGTGCTTCGAAAGTTTGCAGCACCAGATAGAGTTGCAAGGGTCGCCCTACGAATAACTTAGCCACCATAGTGGTAGTTTCCGCGGCAGGAATGAGCAAGCAGTACAGCAGGCGTAGGCGTAGAACGAAGGAAAGTCATGGTGCTGTCTACTGTCAAGGTGTTTGTGCAGTACCATGCAATTAGCGAATGTAGCAAGGCTCACGCAGCAGGGAGTCACCATAGTCCGTAGATAGGAGCTGTCGTTGCCGTCGTCGCAGGAGGGTATAGAAGCAAAGGCAGCAGCATCGTTTCCTTCTGGTAAAAAAGATGTAATAAGAGCTGCAGCTATGGCGATTGCAGGTATGCTGTCTAGCGGTTCATTCCGCAAATATACCGTTACCGCCAACAACCATCATACATCTCAGAAGAAGCACCACCGTGATGGTCACTCCTGTCGTCAGCATCATAAGCATAACCATGAGCAGTATCATCATCATGGTCATGCCAGTCATGATCCCATCACCAGCTACATCCTCATTGACTCATTGTGATCATCATGACCACATTGAACAGTTAACAGCACCAACGTGGTCTCTCTATCTTCCAGCGAGCTAACCGCAATCCATCAGCAGCATCACCATCAGCATTATCATGTAGTGTGATCATCACCAGCGGCACGCCCACCATCGTCATCACCATCAGCAGGAAGCCCAACACCGCCCGCCCCTGGTCTAGCCGCAGTCTAGCTAGCAGCTAGCCATCATCCATCAGCATCATCATCGTCGTCGTACTCATGACCATTGCCAGCATGCTCCACCAGCATCAGAGTGGCATAGAGTAGTACCAGTCAGAAGACCATACCAATTCAAATTACAGGAGTTCGGAGCGTGCCCACGGTCGTCTTTCTTGCACCGGTCGTCAGAGCTTTGCCTCAGTGTTGCATCATAAGGGTACCAAAGAATGCGTCCGCAGGCCGTATTGCTTTCATGGCTGGAGCGCCCGGCCAATGTCGTGTGTGGCACTTATCTTTGTTTCTGCACCGCGTCGGTCAGTGCAAGAGCGAACCTCGGCCATGAGATGCAAGTCGGACTGTCGGACCCTCCTTACCTTAAATCCTACACCACTGAAAGCTGATTTCGACACCCTGCAAGCAAGATGCCGAGCATTCTTGCAACTCGAAGTCGTTCACGGAAGTCAAAAAGCGACGCATGCATTATTATGCACAAGACTCTGGTCCATGTACTTAACGATGGATACCGGAGCTGAACCCTTGGTGATGATTCACGTTGATTTGTAGCGTTTCCGGCTGGCCTTCGAAACGACATGTTAGCGCGCCGCCTGTGTGCTTGGTGTTTGCAGAGACGCTTAGCCCTGGCACCACCCCGGCCAGCGAAGCCTGCAGTGCTGCAGCTTTGCAGGGGCGGGAGAGGGGTGGGCGGGTGGCAGCCGGAAACGCTACAAAATCATCACCAAGGGTTCAGCTCCGGTATCCATCGTTAAGTACATGGACCAGAGTTTTGTGCATAATAACGCATGCGTCGCTTTTTTGGGCATCCATGTTGTCGAGTCAGGGTCAGCCTGGGACTGAGCGTTTCCTCTTGTAAGGTTTCTGAAGCGACCCCTCTTAGTCTTTGATACAGGCTTTCTGTACTTTACCGGCTGCCGGTCGCATCGTGCACTTGTGGAATTGCGAGTCCTCTCCGCCATGGATTTCTCACGCGGTTCAGGTCAAGGATAGGACCGATAGGATACCGTTTGCCTGACATGGGCCACGATGGGTGACGAAGAGGAAGAGCCTCCCAAGAAGAAGGCCCGCACCTCCGGTGACGGTGCAGAGCCTCGTGTCTTGGCCTTGCTCGGCCTGGGGAACCCGGAGGGCTGTGGGCGACGGGAGCGGCACAGTTTAGGGGCCCGGGTCGTGTCAGCCCTTCTTGCTGAATCAGAAGAGGCCGTGGAGAAGGTAGACTCTGATTGCCCTGACCTTCAAGGTGCCCAGTGGCTGAAATGCGGTGAGACCCGGGCACTGATTCTGCAACCTCAGCGGCCTATCAATGACAGTGGCCCTCAGTTGCATGCAGCATTGGACTCCCTGAATCAGCTGGCAGCTCCCTTTCTTGCCGTGGTAGATGATTGCTGGCTGCCTTTGGGTTCAATCCGCTTCCGTGAGAAAGGCTCCAGTGGAGGTCACAAAGGCTTAGAGGGAATCGAGGCAACATTTCCTTGCAAACAAGCGTACCACCGACTTCGCGTGGGCATTGGTGGCAAGAACTCCAAGGAATTCGTCACAGGTTCTTTCACAGACAACGAGGAAGAGCTGCTCAAGCCGGTGCTCAAAGCCGCCGCGCGAGCTGCGCAGGCCAGGCCACATACACTCCAATAAGTATCCCATCGTGCACCAAAGACTTCAAATTAGTATTCGTACATGGTGTTCGTAATTTCTGTATTTGTCGGGTGACAAGCGCATACGATGCACTACGAACCAGGAAGGTGTTGAAACTGTAGCCAGGTGCCTTTCTGGTTCGTCACGATGACATACCTTGCATGCAACAGCTTACAAGGTCACTTGCTCCATGTGTCATGCCATCATCCTGAGCTACTCCTCCTTCGTCAGACTCAATGCTCTCCCCATCCCATCAAGACCCAGTCCCATACATTTTTTGATATGATGAGCAAGATGGTACGATTGGGGCCCGAATTCAAGCTCTTAGGATATGAACTCTGAGTGGCCTACCAGGCTTGGTTGCAAATGGGGCCAGAGGCATCGCAGAAGATCATGAGCGTGGTCAACGCTCAGAGCTTTGTGCAGAATCCTGTACTGCCGACACCTGCTGCGAAGAAGGCACCGACGCCTCCGAAATCCGAAGCCGAAGCCTAAAAGTGCTTGGCCTCTCTTCTGCGTGCGTGGGCCATCGAAAAGGTGGCTGAGAAGCTGAGAGATGCATGCACACGCATTCTTGTCACTTATGAACATTGTGTGTGTGTGTGTGTGTATAGGTAGAGAGAGAGAGAGAGAGAGAGAGAGAGAGAGTCTGCGCATGGGTAGACGGAAGGCTGCTGTTCTGTATGCATGCTTCCATGGATGGATGGATGGATGGATGCCTGTAGGTAATCATAGCGATAGAACGAGTGAGAGAGACAGAGAGAAATAGAGAGGCCGACAAACAGAGACAATTAGAGTGTTTGGGTGGTAGGTGCGTGACCGAGTGCACGCGTCAGTGAGAGAGAAAGAACGGAAGAGAGAAAGAGAGCGAAAGACAGAAGGAAAGAAATAGAGACAGACAGAGATAGACAGAGATTTCCATGCAAGTGCATGTATGTTTGCGTGCTTGAGTGTGGGCTTGTGCTTGCGTTGTAGGGCTGCGGATGTATTTGTGTGCGGGCGTTTTTGTACCACTAGAGTCACTCTTTCAACTCTGCGTGCTGGAACAATCCTATGCTGGGAGGGGCTTCAATCCGCGTCACCAAAATGCTGCTACTTGTAGCAGTGAAGCAAAGTGTTGAGTGTACGTATTATACTGGGTCGCTTTGGATTTTGAGCCCCCCGTAATTCGATAGCAGTGTGCGGTTACACGACTACCGTTACACTCTGACTCTGGTAGACTGACCGCAGCACAACAAAACCTAACCACAGCCCCAGGCCACAAAAGGCAGGAGACAGGCTCGAAAGGGGGGATGCTGTTGGTTCAAGCTTCAATTTACGGCTGGGGGTTCAGGTTGGTTGGTGTGGGAGCCTATGCTTTTGGATTCAGTGTTCAGGTACAGCGTGTTTGGCCGAAGAAGGTTCTTTTCGGGTGTTCAGGCCTAGCGAAGGGCAGTCACCCGCATGCTCGTACTCTGCGGGCTGCCTTCGCCTCCTCTGAAACTTGACCTACACTCCTACTGTTCTCAATGACCTCAGTTCCTCGACCCGAGTCTTCTGAAGCCCACCCTAAAGGACGCCCGGAAGTTCCTGAAGATCCTGACTAAGGTCCTACTTCCGCACTAATCGAGCGTGAAGCCCCGAAGCTTTCAAACCAAAAATCCCAAGCCTGGGCGTCCCCAAGACGAGCCTGCAAGCACGGGCATGAATCCGCAAGCTCTCTCTCGTGGCCCAGCCGCTGTGCATCCTACTGTGTATGACATGTATGTATACATGATACTAGCACAACCTCTGTGAATACATACATGCAAACTACATATGTGTGCACACATGCACGTATGTGTGCGTACGTATGTACGTACGTAGGTACGGATGTATGTATGCATGTATGTGTTTTGTAACTATATATGTATGTATGCACGTATGTATGTATGTGTCTATATTAAATGTATGTGTATGGTCGGGCTTTTGGGGGACTGCCTCGACAGAGCTTTGCGAAGACTCCGGAATGATCATTGTTGGGTGAAAAGGGCCGCATAGGGTGAGAAACGGCATTGCTGCAACAAATCGGCAATTCTGCGAGCACGTGGCATTGTAAAACTGATTCACTCATCATACATTTTGCGCGCAACCGTCCCAGCATTGATACATAAAAGCACTCTCCCATCATAAGGCAATTATGCATGCGAGACCTTGCCGACCGTCACCTTCTGCAACTACAAGTCTTGCGGTCAACATGAGCAGCAATGTGCAGAAGCTGTAAGTGCCTGGCTGTAGGTATGTCTGCAGGTTTGCCCGTAATTAGGTACGCAGGTGTCCAGTATGCATATCTGTATTTGCAACGAAAGTTCTATCTGCTGCATCTATCTACCCAGTTATGTAGCAGCTGTCCGTGCATGCATCTGTGCATCTCGCTATATCGTTCCTCCACCACGGCGGTGCTAGGTCTTGCATGACTTTCCGCGGCATGGACTCTGAGGAGGTCGAGAGCTTCGGCACGAGAGTTTTTTTTTAGGGCTGAAAGATTGGGTTTTTTGACTTCTGGTTGGCGGTTGGGTTTGCGGCTCAGCGGGCCCGAGGTCCCTATGGGAGAGCTCTAAGCCAGCAGGTGCGATTGAAACCCCTGTACTGTCAAGCTACATTCTGTTCGGCAGACCCAGCCCCCCAAACTGCAATTCAATGCCCGAATGAGCAGCTGAATTCAAGGTGAAGGGTTGCAGGGATGCTGAGATTAGTAGCTGTGAACTCTAACTCCTGAGCCTCTAAACCGCCATGCAGACAGACCCCAGCGTCGTGATGCAGGACCGCGAGGACCTCGTTGCGTACTTGGCAAAGGGGGCTTAAGTTGAGCCTTTCATCCTGGGACCAGATGCCTTCGCAGGCGCAGGATGTGGAAGAAAAGGATGCTAGGGTTCATTCAGGTTTAGGCTTGAGGAGTTCTTGGGACATGAGGGACTGGATAGGACTCAGGAAGCGTGGCTAATTGGGACATACGCGTTCAAGATTGCAGTCAAACGAGGTCTCGGGTTCGGACTTTGGAAAAGAGGGGGACAGTCCGCGGCAAAGTCCGCAAGATGCAATGCACCCGAAAAAGAGTTCTGCAACCTGCACAAGAGTATCCTCAGAACGGCAGAGGTGTTGGCAATCATGCCGGCTGCCGATCGATAGACTTAGCAAGCAGGTAATTGAATCGCGAAGCTGGGAATGCTGAAGGCCGCGAAAGCTTAGGCCCATCGGCATATAGTATGAGTAGGCTGACATTCGCTTGTCGAAGGTAAACGGAGAGTGCACTGGCAAACGTTCCTGTTCGGGGGGCACGTTTAGGCGAATGTCATTAGTCACTGGCCATGCAGATGGAAAGATCCTGAATATGAGATAGAATCGTAAGCCCAGAAGCTATGTAAGCCCGAGGGATGTTCTCGTCGATGTCCCGTCGGCGTGGTTGGCTCCCATGTCATACGCTTGCTTTCTCATGACCAGCCGTGATACATGTAGGTGCATCATGATATCAGTCATACATACATATACATATATATATATATATGTATGTATGTATGCATGTATGTGTGTATGTATGTATTTCCTTTAGTTGTGCTTGGCAACAAGCCAGGACCACATTATGCTGTCGCACTCTGAATACTGCCTCCGGTAGGCTCCGAACTGCCGCAATTTCCCGGTTATACAGCACATGGTCAGAGATCCGGCTAACGACAACGCAGCGCAGCAAGTTCCGGACCCAGAGAAAAAGCTTCAAATCCTCGAAGGAAGCCGGTCACTCAAAATGCATGAAGTATCTGGTAGCTTAGACGCTTTCTCGCTGGTATCCGGTGTCCGACGCTTCGCAGACCTCGGAGACTTGGTGAGTGTTGGTGCCGACATCTCGGAAGGCCGAGCGGAGACTGCACTTTTCCTAAACCCACGCCTTGCGTTCGGTGCAGGGCACGATGGATGAGAGCCAGGCCAGCGTGGCCATGGCTTTTGCCAAGGCAGCCAAAGCTGGGGCTGGGCCTTCGGGTCTTGAGATGCTTTGAGGGTTGAAGCTGCCTGAGCGGCTTTGCTTGAGGGGTTTAGATTTTGGTCGTGTCCGTTAACAGTACCCGAAGTACTTGACAAAGAAGACATGCAAAACCTGGACTAGCCTTGACTCCCCAGCGGTGAGTTCTCGCCGGAGTCGCTTGGATTAGAGCCTGATGGTCTCGATTTCTCTTGCTGAAGTACAGCGACAATCCGGAAGTGTAAAATTCAAGGACTTAAGGAGTCATCCCTCCAAACCCAAACTTAGATCGCAAGCTTTGAGAGATGCGCCCTGGTATCGGAGCCGCGATCCCGAAAACAAAAGCATCCCGCGAACGGAGATGAGCGCGAAGTTTTGCTGTGTCGGACCTGCACAAACACTGATCATCAGGTTGACGCGAAGGTCAGAGGCCGCAGATCCCGGCTATCGCAAGCCGTAAAGCAAACTTTGCTGGAAATCCCGGAGTGGCTTCCAATACCGATCAGCCGAGGAAACCACTAAGACACTAAGATAAACCCAAACGTCCCTAAAACTTCCCCACAGTGTCCCTGCGTTGGGGCACGATGATCAGCAAGTCTTGCGTATCCGAAAAATCATTCATCAGGAATTCAGCAGCAGTGCACTGAAAAACGGTGCTGCAGTGGCTGGTGTGGTGCCCCTGCCCCGATTCCGAGTGCGGTGGAAGTGTCTTCGTGGTTTGGATTTGGGATTCAGGCAGTGCGCATCCTTGCACTCCCGCCTAGGGTGCTAGCTCAAGTGTGCATTCGCGGTCAAACCTACGAGTGTCATCACTTTGGTCATCACCGTCTGCTGGATTTGGGCATAACAGATCTAGGGTTCAGCAATTTGTGCACATGCTCTGCCAGGAACGAGGTGGGGGGTATGTGGCGCAGAGTGTCGCGATAGGAGGAATTCGTGTATATGACACAGTATTCCGTTCGCAACCCCTAGGCGCTTGGCACTGCTAGAGTTCGAGTGCGACGGTCCCGTATGGACTTGACTCGATTGCGAAAACTACGGATGGTGGTCAAAGACGTTGGTACGGGTTCGACCCGGCATCGAGACTCGGATGTTGCTCACATTACCGGATGCTGGCACATTCGAAGGTGCACTTGAGGTGTGTGAGCAGCCAACATTTTCACAGTGATAAGCTTCGGACGTCTGCATTGCCCGCTTCATGCCGGCCCATCTCATCAACAGTTCGCGGGAAAGGTGGGCGAGTATGTCCAACGCGGACCAGAAGGTGTAGGCACGAGACTTGAACTGGAGACTTTACACTCCCGTTACAAGAGTGCTTAGACCAAGGACCCTGCCCTACCTCATTGGAGTTCATAGAGGGATCCCTCATGCGTTCAAACTCTGACATGTTTGCGGACGACCAACCATTCGAAGCTTCAGATTTTACTGGCGGACATAGCAAAGCGGTTCTAGGTAGAGCCGGAAGTACACTGACACAGGGCGTGAGGGCAAGCACCCCAGGATACGGGCCATCAGTACCAGGACTCTGATAGCGGCCTTCGTGGTTTGGACTTCACGTAGTCCAGATTTGGTGAGGGTTTTCTCAAGCTGATTGCATGGCTGAGTTGAAGGCCCGTTGTCTTCCGAACTTGCGGATAGCTGTTTGATGTCACGTGAGCTTGGGGACTTGGGTTTGTACTACAGTGCCATCGCTGGATAGGGCATCCTTTTCAGGGCCAGGGGTTTGGTTTTCTAATTCTGCATTGCGTTGAGCTCACCCTTCCCGGGCTCTCGCATTATTACTCCAACGGCTTCCTCTGTCGTTACACCTCTAGACTCTAGCCCTGCTGATCACCTAGTCACTAAATCACCGAATCCTTTAACCTGATCTTGAGGCTGGCTTTCCTTTATGGGTGGGGCCGCGAGCATTGGCGTGTCTGGCTCGCTTGCAGTTGCCAAACATCCCCGAAGCCTAGTCCAAAGTTGTGAACCCTTAGCCCTGCAAGTCCAAGACCCCAAGACTGATCCAAACAAGAAAAACCCAAGTCAAGTCGTGCAATTCTTTCAGTTCTTGGTTGCTTGGGCTTCCTGAACATTGCCGCGATCATCTTGGATCCACTGGAGTACGCCACCTGGCGGGTGGGAGGGCCTTCAAGCCTTTCGTTCGTGACTGCTCGAGAACTCAGTTCTACTTGGGCTGAGTCTCGCTTGTAAATGCTTGCCGAAGCTAGCAGTCCTGGCACCACGACTCACTACCCTGGACCCTATGCTGTTACTATCTGTAACCATTCTTGGGAAACCCACAGATGTACCTTCGGTGCTGAGGTATGTAGTGAATGGATACCAGACCCTGTTCGGCGTCGTCGTCTGCCTCCTGGAGGTCGCGCAGATGCTGCTTCCCAGCCATAGGTTCCAGCACAGTACTTCACCAAGTTCTGCTTGTCAAAGGCGCTTGGGTGGTGGCTTGGTAGGACAGAGTTTTGTTGTCGGCCTTGTGCAGACAAGTATGTTTTCTTGGGTGAGTCTGCTTGAGTCCAGCAGGGGACTCAGGCGTTTAGACGCATGACTGAACCACAGTTGCAGGAGCAGGGCAGTAGGAGTTGCAGTTGCAGCGGCAGTGGCAGTAGCAGTGGCAGCAGTAGTAGTTGAAGGTTGTGGTAGTAGTAGGAGGAGGAGGAGTAGGAGTACCAGGAGTGCTAGGAGTATCTCTCTCTCTCTCTCTCTCTCTCTCTCTCTCTCTCTCTCTCTCTCTCTCTGTATATATATATATATATATATACATATTGTATATGTATATACAGCATATACAATACATCATTATACAAACATAGTGGGATCACCTACTGATTAGGAGGATGTAGTGATGACCCAGTCAAGTGACCTGTAGGATACGTTACAAGGCTGGGGTTTCTGGGTGTAACTTGTAACCAAGTGCAACTGTGGCTAGGGCCCGACAAGAAGCCCGCCTCAAACTTGCAGTTTCAAGTCATCATACGCTTTTGCAAGTAGATTTTCCATCAACGAAACGAGGCGCCGGACGAGTGGATCGGCAACAACGACAAGCTCAGCAAGGCTAGGATCTGGCCGTCTCACGGAAGCAGTGATCGCTGAACAGGGGAACCGCAGCCTGCCCTCACACCACTTCATGCTTTCCCGGAGAAAGGTGTGAAACGCCTGTGATGTTGTTTCCAAGTGCAGCGCTGGCCGAGCTTCTTCAAAGGTGGTCCAAGGCTGCGGACTATTTTCGGCCCCGGCAAAGCGCATTGCATTTCTGAGACAAACCGAAGGGCTCGCTGGAGGTTCCTGGGATCCTTCAGCGAACTTCAGGATAAACTCTAAGCGCTACATCCTTGACCGCGATCCGTGACCTGAACTGGTGGAAGGCGCGGGGGTTCATCAAAGAATACGCGAGATTCCTATACACCTGTGGAGGGCCCGGGCCTGAGAGCTGTCGGTTTGGGGCTAAAGGCTTGCACTTGGATCTGCTTATAGTCCCTCATGCATCTGCAAATGCCATCCCAAGTTCGCAGGCCAGCAGGTCGAGGAATTTGGAGGGTGGCCCCAAAGCTTTCCGCTTCTATCAGTTCAAGGGCGAAAACGTGGAAACGCGGGAGCTTGTCTACGCCAGGGCAAAACGTGCGTCAAACCGTCAAACCTTGAAAGCCAAGTTGTGCCTTCTGCGGCATTGTTAGCAAGGCAATGGCTGGTCCGGCATCGTTCGTTGCAGAAAGGTGCCGGTACCGCTATGCATCTATCCTAAGCGGTCAAGACCCGAAATTCACCAGCAACACAACGAAACACAACATCAGGCTTCGTGTGAAAAACGTCGTGACATCACCGCGTCCCTCATCTGGGAAAGCATGCTTCCGAA